TATATATATATATATATATATATATATATATATATATATATATATATCAGGGTATCATGTCAAAAGTTTTACTGTATGATGGGTAGAGAGAAAAACTGGGATAAATTCAAATGTGAAATACAAATAAATATGCCTATAGTTGGATAAACGTTAAACATTGACATTCTGCGCTACATAAAATCATTTTTACAAAGTTTACAAGTACAATCTTCATTTACTAAATGTATGTAGGTTTTCTTTCAATTGTAGGACCAAAATCAAGACTATAGCCAACGTGAATAAAAAAAATCACGTCGTCAATGTAATTTTATTTTGAAATTAACTACCGGATATTCTATCCTTCGCGTGTCCTCGGTGAAGGTGCGCTCGTTTTGGTCACCGATGCGTTCAGGTTGATGAACCCGTTAGAATTCGTACAGTACAGTATATTTTATTCGTCTGTACTAATTTGGAATTTTTTTTTCCTAATCATGGATACAGATATAAACAAATACATTTTAACTGTGCGCCATTTTTTACGGTTTAAAACAGGAAATAATTTGCTCTCCTCTCTGTGAGCTGGACAGAGTTCACATCGAGCACACCCTTCCTCTTGAACAAGCCCAGGCCCAGCGGATGTGTGCGTTTGTTCACTATCATCTACACATCCCTCTGAACCGGGCGGGAAACGGTTCCATAACGACAATGGGAGAAGTTTGTAACGAGAAGAAGACGTGGCTTTTTGTTGTTTGGCGAACCTGCAACGTTGTGATGTCGCAGTTCTTCGCTCTCGCCTCTTACGTTCAGGTTGGTGTTTAGTTTTGAAAGCAGGTTTGTTTCGCTCACCTTTAAATTAGTTTTAACGAGCGTGTCCCCGCCTCTCCGTCCTGCAGATTAATGATCCAGACGCGGGTTTATGGATGGTAGGATTATTACATATGATTTGTGTTATTACTATATCACATATGATTTGTGTTAATATTATTTGGGTGGACAGGTGCTGACATGGTTCTGTTCCAGGTGGGTTACGGTGTCCCTGCAGTCCTCTGCGCCTTAATTGGCTTCACACCGCACGTGACCGGTAGGAAAAGTTTAGGCTTCAAAAATTAAATTCCTTTTTCTTTTTTTCTTTTTTTTTATGAAAAACGCAAAGTTACCTGCTGGTGTTTTCTGAACAGTTGCTGAACTCTGAGCTGTTTTAGAGCGCCCCCTGGTGGTTGTGATTAAACTACAACCTGACCTTTGACCTCTGGGGCTCCTCTCTGCAGAGACTTTGACCTGGAGGCGAGTTGCAGACCTGCATGTGATGATCTCCAGTGCAGTCATCTCCATGCTGGGATGGAAACTTTACTCAGAGAAGATCACTCAGATCTTCCAGCAGGAGGAGGGCCGGTACGCTGCGTCTCCTCGTGTCTCCTGAAGCTCTTCAGTTTTAAATCCATGACATTTAACCTCTACTTTAATTCTACCAGGGATCTCACACTAATATTTTGATTTGGCTTGGATAATTTTACCACAATGGATCTGAAAACACACAAAAAATGTTAAAATATTCCTGAAATGTGGATTATTTATACTTGATTTGAGGGTATCAGATGAATAAACAATAACTAAACAAACGCACATTTTCAAAAATATATTGAATACTTTTTTTTATTTAAAGCAGACAAATTAAAATATTTATAATTGGTGTTTTATTGTACTGTAAATTCTAAACTAGAACTGTACATTTTTGGAGTCGCATCATTTATTTTTGTTTTTGCATTTGAATATTTTCTGAATTTACATTTCTTGTTGACTTTTTGAAATAGTAAAGAGAATCAACTGTTAAGTTTGAGTCGAAGACTTCAGATAAACTTGACTTCAAATAAAATAAAAAGACCTTTTAAACAAAAGAACAGAAATCCTGAAGAATTGATGTGATAAACTGAAAGTCTAGAGAAAATGATAAACCTCCAAAAACATATTTAAATTTAATTAAACAGATTACTGGTGTGAATATGGATCCCTGATCATTGTATTTGCAGTAAATTTCTGTTGGTTCATACAAACCAATAAAATGCAGAATAATTTTCATTCCTTCCTAATTATATTTGGCTTTTTAAATGTTTTATTTAGACTGGTCTGTTTATTAATGACTGGTTTATTAAAAACAAAGAAAGAGCAACTATTGAGCGTTAAAGTTGATTTTCTTCTTTTAGAGAGTTTTCTGGTCTGATGCTGACGGTTGTTTGGCTTCTCTTGTGTCGACACTCTGGGAGGTAACTTTTCATTCTTTGCACAACTTTTAGTCCTTCGTTGACATCACTAATAAAATGAGCGTTTAGGTGGAATGTACTTATATTTTTCTCCTTTCAGGGCTCCTGTTGGGAAGCTACGAGTCTCCACAGCTGTCTCCATCACAGTTTTCCCCATCGTGGCCTGGCTTTACTACTACATCAACAAGGAGCTGAGATCAAACTGGCCTTCACATTGTAAAACTGCTATTTAGACAGCTGAACTTGACCGTATTCTGTCTGATAAATCATTCCTGATTTTGCTGTTTGACTGAAAACCCATCATCAGTAGCTGCTGCTTTGGTTAATTAATTAAACTCAAATTTATAAGACCTGAAGTGCACTAAAATGTTAATTTTTGTTAATATATTTTGTAATCTGCTGATCGTTACAAACAGTATTTCATTAGCTGTGCTGAATTTTTTTTTCTATAAATTGCTTAGTATGTATGTTTTATAACGTTGAACTGAAAATTCTCTACCAAATGAAGTGCAATGTGTAAATAAATAAAATTAAGAAATCGAGTTTTATGTCTGTTACCAGATTTCACCGCTAGGTGGCGAAAGAGAAAATATCAAATATAAGCGAAGAAGAAAAGTCACGTGGTTCCGCTTTTACTCGGAAATCGGGATACTGATCTCAGATCAGCCTTTTAAGCATTAGCAGTTATCATTTTGAAACATTTCATATTTACATAACTGACTGCAGATCAGCAGTTTGAGCTGCTCTTCCCTCATTTTTGTTTCTATGAAAGTTGAGAACACTTCCGGGTTCGCGTAGCGGCTACGTGAAGGTCCAAACACAAACAGACATGAGCGCCTTGTCTCGGTACCTGTGCTGCCGGTTGTTCCATGCTAAAGTTCTACAGACCCGAGCTGTCAGGTTAGCACACAGTCTTATTCCGAGAGAACCTGGACCGGAACCCGCTCAGACACCGCCAGGAGCTCACCGTTACCGGGTAGGTCAATGCAGCGGCGAGTCTCACGCCAAACTCCATGCAAAAATAAACACATTTCTGATTGTAGTCGGTTGAACGTACGTTTAAGCCTTAATTTAGCCCTGGTTCCGAGTCCACTTTGCTCAGTTCATACTGATATAACTTTCCGCTTGTTTATGACTATAATGTTTAATTAAATATTCAGTATCAAAATATCTGTACACCCATCATGCAGTCAAACTTTTGTACCTGCCAGGTGAGTGTGAGCCAGTGGCAGCCCTGCAGAGCAGCATGGAGCCTGAATCTCTGCAGTTCAAGGACTTTTGTCTCAATTCCTCCAAAACCTTCATCAGGCGACAAGTCCACGAGGTCTGGGGTGAGTCTCTCAGGTTTTATTCAAATAATGAACCTGCTCCTGGAAACGCTTTCATACTGGGCCCATTTTCAGCTGCAAACATTTACATTGAAGTTGAACAAAGTGGAACTCGTATCTGAAATTCTTCTTCTTATTATGAATTAATACAATAAATGTCACATAACCAGCTTAAATAACAACAGATCATACAGTTTTTGATTATTAAAAAAATAATAAGTTATTAAAATTATTATGTACTTATTCCTGAATATGAAGTTTGAGCCTTTTTTCATTTTTTATTTGACTGTTTATTTCAGAAACGTTTCTTTAATTTAATTTTAGCCTGGTTGATGGTTTTCAATAAAAATAAAAAAAACATGTAACTGCACCACTTCATTTAAGTTTTTATTATTGAAAAGACTTGAAGGCTTTTTAAATTTAAGTTGTTGTTCTAGTTCAAGATGCAGTCATACTTCCAAATGTTAGTCGGCTGTAACAGCTGATCCTGAGTCAGTTTTCATAAATTGAAATCATAAATCTACCAGTTTGATCCTCCACCCCATCACGTTTGTTTGTGGGGGGCGGGTTTTACTTGGAGGGAGGGGGTTTATTTGTAGGATGTTTTTCATTTGGGGGTGTTTTATTAATTGTGTGTTTTATTTGGGGGGTCGTGTTTTATTTGGGGGTATGTTTTATTAATTGTGTGTTTTATTTGGGGGCGTGTTTTATTAATTGTGTGTATTATTTGGGGGGTGTTATTAATTGTGTGTTTTATTTGGGGGGTGTTTTATTAATTGTGTGTTTTATTTGGGGGGCATGTTTTATTTGGGGGCGTGTTTTATTAATTGTGTGCTTTATTTGAGGGGGTGTGTTTTTTTGGGGGGGCGTTTTATTTGGGTGTGTGTTTTATTAATTGTGTGTTTTATTTGGGGGGGGGCGTGTTTTATTAATTGTGTGTATTATTTTAGGGGGCATGTTTTATTTGGGGGTGTGTTTTTATTAATTGTGTGTTTTTATTTGAGGGGGCGTGTTTTATCTGGGGGTGTGTTTTTATTAATTGTGTGTTTTTATTTGAGGGGGCGTGTTTTATCTGGGTGCAATTTTTATTTAGGGGGCATGTTTTATTTGGAGGACTTTTTATTTGTGGCGGCGTGTTTTTATTTGGGGTGTGCTTTATTTTGAGGGCGTGTTTTTTTGGGGGGGTAGAGTTTGCTGTGAGGACATAAACCTGAAACTGTTCCTGCAGCTTCTTCCTGCAGATCATCTGAAGCTGCTTCCAGGAGAGGAAGTTGAAACAATTCATTAAACTTGTTGACATGAGGAGGTTTCTGTCTTTCTGTCCGGTGCATAAAATGTCTGATTGCTTTAGCAGTGATTTAGATATTTTGACCGTAGTTTTGCTAATACTCTAATCAGTTTTGTTAATTATAGCTTAAGCATATTTGTGGCTACTTCTAGCTGCTGCACTGCTTATTTTAGCCATATCATTTGGTTACCTCCTTTTAACTATAGTTTTGGTAACGATAACATCAGTGTTATCTATTTTGCTCATTTTAGCTACTGTTTAGTTATTTTAAATATTAACACATTTTTCTTATTTTAGCTACTGTTTAGTTATTCTAAATATTAACACATTTTTCTTATTTTAGCTACTGTTTTGCTAATTTTACTTTTACTATGTGTTTTTCTGCTTCTAGCTACAGTTTTGCTCAACTAAGCTTTAGTATATTTGAGCTTCCATTTTGCTAACTTTAGTTTAGCATGTTAAGTTCTTTCTAATTGTGCCTCATTTAGCACCCGTTTTGTTAATTTTACTTATAGTTATCTTTAAGCTACTGTTCTGCAAGTTTTAGCCTTTGGCTGCTGCTTTGCTTCTTTTAGTTTTTAGCTACTGTTCTGCTGGTTTTAGCTTCTATTCTGCTTGTTTCAGCCTTCATAACTCAGTTTCAGCTCCTTCAGCTGGTGTTCAGCTCGGTGTTCACGCTCCACATGTAGGAGGCGTCGTGTTGAAACGAACATTAAAACGTCTGATCGGTGTTTCTCCTTCTTAAGCTCATCACGTGGAAATCTTTAGCGGTGACGTTTGCGATCGGAGGTGTTCTGCTGGGATGGATGAAGCATTTGAAGCACGAGAAGGAGCAGTGTGAGTGTTTGTTCGGCTGACGTGTGTTTACACCAACTCTGTGGTCGTGACATCAGAACTTTTATCTGCAGTGATGGAAAAGGAGCGGAACAAATCGATTGGGAAGCCAGCGCTGGGCGGTCCCTTCTCCCTCATCGATCACAACAAGAAGCCCACCAAGAGCGAGGACTTCTTCGGCCAGTGGGTCCTCATCTACTTCGGCTTCACGCACTGCCCCGACATCTGCCCAGACGAGATCGAGAAGATGATCCAAGTGGTGGACGAGATCGGTGAGGAAGCCGGATCGAATTCATGGATTTGAGTCCAAATGAAGAGAATTGGGTCAACGAGCCGTTTGTGTCTTTCTGTCTGCAGATGGCATCAAGTCTCTTCCTCAGCTGACGCCCATCATCATCACCATCGATCCTGAGAGGGACACGCCGGAGGCCATGGCCACTTACGTTCAAGGTGCAAACAGCACCGGGTCAAACCGGTTCAGAACCAACTTTTATCTGTGTTGAAACTAAGATGGTGCGTTTCAGATACAACCAACGGAACGGGGACCCTCTGAAGTGAATGCATGTCGCCCGCCACAGTCATGCCAAAATCTTTAAACTTGGCTCTTGTGCCATCAGTTAGAGCTCAGAGTATGTGTGGAGGAGGACTCTCAGCTACTACCACAACAGACTTTAACTCAATATTTGTAAAGCTAAAGCTGTCATGACTCAGTTTAAACACAACAGAAAAAAAAAGAGTCAGTAGTTTTGAAGTGTCAGACGTTCTGATATAAAAAAGCAGACTGCACCACCATTCAGGTGAATCTGAGCCACTTTTTAATTATTAGTATTTATCACCTGTTTGGTTTTGTGCCCAAGTCGTGGAGCGAAGAGGTGACTCTGTCCGTCTTGAGAGGTGGATAACTTGAAAAATAAAATGACGTGTCGACTTCCATTTTGGTGTGTGGCTGCATGTAGGCGTAAGAAAGGTCACCATCACAAATTGGGTTGTCACGTCAGAATCCAAGATGGCCACCAACATATATTGTATATATGTAAAGCAGCCACTCAGAACATTTGAGGAAACTATGCTTTCTAGTTTCCTCAAATGACTGTGGTGGCTGAAGGTTAATATATGAGGGCCAGAGCCACCATTGGCCACCCCCCGGCTAATCCTCTGCTCCAAGATTCGTCACACTGCGTCATCTTGGACAAGAGAAAAAGGCTCCCTCTGTTCTCCTCCATGGTGTAACTGCTCCACTTGAATATCTCGCACCAAAACATTTAGGTTTACATTCATTCCCAGTTCAAGTCCAGTAAAAAAAATAAAAAAACCTCATCTGGAAATCTACAAAAATTCACCAGCCATGTCCCTCAGGGAGACATCAGCTGTAGCCTCGAGTGTTTTCTGTCTGAGCTTCCATTCCAGAGCTTTTGAGGCGATTTTAAGATGCCCAACAGAAAATCGAGGACGTAATACGCTGCTTCATCTACGTGAGACGCTGCTTCGTCTACGTGATACGCTGCTTCGTCTACGTGATACGCTGCTTCGTCTACGTGAGACGCTGCTTCGTCTACGTGAGACGCTGCTTCGGCTCCGTGAGATGCTGCTTCGGCTCCGTGAGATGCTGCGTCGTCTCCGTGAGATGTTGCGTCGTCTCCGTGAGATGTTGCGTCGTCTC